ATGAAGTTGTGACTTGTGAGGGTGCTTTTGAGGCCGTGGATGGGATGTTTTGGTAGAGTAGCCCATCAACCAATGAGAACGAGCCACGTCAGCATTGCGGAGGGCGTATTTGTAAATTTTTATCCAGAAAAGAAAACTGGTGGAAGTGGAATTAGGGGTGGCAATGGCTGATACGACATGGAAAATAAACACGACACGGTAAGATTAAAAAACACGATTATAGAGACAAACGACATTATGGACACAACGCGACATAATCCCATACATGACACAAAAAACATGAAATAAAAAATTTAATTAATTTAGACTTCATATTTATAATGAGATAAAATTATAAAACATGAATTCATAATCACGATAGAATAAGATTCGATAATATGACTTTGTAACCCTAAAGTAGAAATGACTTTTGTTACCGAGTGTATTTTCTATTGTGATTTTGTGAATTGAAGCTTATATAACTGATTGAAAGTGATTTTGTGAATGGAAGCTTATAATTGATTAATTCGATAGACTTGTTTTTGTAGGGTTCACAAAAGTTTTCTATCTATATGTAAAACTCAAGCTAGAAGTAGAATTGAGAAATTAAAACATAATCAAATTCAAAGTAAAAACCCAACATTTGTCAACTCTAATACATACATTTATCAAGAAACTTGAGAACCAGTCAAAATTCAAAAGTGGATACCAACATTTTCAAACTCTAGATAAAAACCGAGATTCAAATCAAAATGCAATGCTCTAAAACGTAGGGGCAAAGGGGCCATGAGATTATGATTCAACCACAAGGAAGCAAAAGTTGAGCAACTTTCATTTTTTCCTTTCAGAATGACTTTTGTGGATATAAAGTTGTTTTTGTGATTGAAACTTTTTTGGTACAAGCCATGAGCCTTGTCTCACAATTTTATTTTTTTTTATTTTCTTTTATTTTTTTCACGCTACAACAAGCACTCAAAAGAGAACCCTTCCAAGACTTATAATATGAACGTATATGAAAATATGAGATGTGGCTTGCATATTATTGTGTAGTAAAATGAAAGGCTAAGATTGTTGATTATAAATTACGTCTAGTATAGTATTTCCTTACAAAAACGATTGTATGAGATGGATTAACCGCTATCTTATATTGTTTTTAGAGTGTAACAACATGGATTAAAAATATTATTCAGTTTAAAATGTATAGTTGACTAACTATTACGTCTGTCTAACAATAGTCTTATCATTATGACTTCCATGCAGACATGTTGGGTTGAATGTCTTTTAAGAGGGAGTGTAAGAATGATTGGTTGATATTACTTAATTATATTGATAATATTGAGAATAATGGTGTTAGTTTAAAGTTGAGTTAGATTTTGAGTATAAATTAAAAAAAAAATTATAATATTCTCTTTTAAACTATATCTACCTAAAGTTTTGGTAGAAATTAAATTTAAAACAAAGAAGCATTATGATAATGTAGGCAATCAAAATATATGTGGGGCAGTTCAATTTATTAACGTTGTGGCCTTGGATGCTATCGACCAAATTGAAGTCAAAAACAAGAAGAAAGACGTGTTTGGTTAATTGATATAAAGTCTCACCCACTAAACATCATTTCTAGATATAAAAATCTAAGTCAAATTCAACCAGATTTCCCTTGTCCCTTTTTCTTGTTTAATTAGAAAAGCTAACCACATAAATCTATTCTCTCTCAGAATTAGAAAAATCATTTCGAGAAATCAGTTATCTACCAAAATTAAGTAGAGTTGTTAAACGAAAAGTGCCTCTCGTGAGCTTGGTTCGTTAAGGCCCAATTTCGGCTCAAACGAATTAAGCTCAAGCTCATTAAAAGCTCATTTAGTTAACTAATCAAGCTCGTCTCAGCTTGTTTAAGACTCAAAAACTATTTTTTTTACATAAATTTTTTAGTTTGACGCATATTAAGACTTGAGTTTGATTCGTTAATACTCGAACTTGACTTGTTAAGACGGAGAAACGAGTTAAACTCGAGCTCGATTATTAGCTCGTTAGTCAACTAGGTAGTTTACACCATGGAAATTGCATCGAACGCCCACTTTGAAGTTAATATTTATGCACCATTTTTTAGGGTAAAGAAACTTAAATTCGACCATGTACAACTGCTTCTTTATCTTTCTTTGTAAGTACAAAGAAAGAACTTGCAAAATGAGATGATTTTTCATAATTTATAACTTTTTTTTTTTTTTAACAAGAAGTTCATCAAACCCATAGGTCCTAACAATTAACAACCCCCTTAAGATAACTAACCCCATGTAACCAGCTAGATCATGGCTTTAGCAATTAAGCAATTTGAAAAATTGCAAAATATGTTGCAAATTTGTTATTTAACTTTTGGCCCAACAGAAAATATATATCCACTAAGTAATTAAGTCGCAAACATTGTGTACAGTTACGTGAGTTTGTGGACATCCTATGCAATTAGTTAGTGGATAGTATTTGTATTTTCTATCCTCTTTGAAAAAAAAAAAGAAAGAAAAAGAAACTAGTTTTTGTATTTTCTAACATATTGTGCTCTATTTTTCATTGTTGGTAAGCATTTAATATATTCACTAAAATTATTGGATAATTATATATATATTTCAAATTACATATTTTGCAATTTGGCCTTGAATAATTTGGCTTATTCCAAACTATCTTTAGAAAAAGTCCCTGCAGCCAAATAAATATGCCTCCCTTGCTTTAGAAGTTCACCTTGTTACTTTGACATTGACATTGAACACCAATAAATAGTACTTCAAATTTACTTTTATTCTTATTTATAGTTAAAACGGTATCAAAATAATTTTTCAAAATCATTTTACAGCTTGCACAAATTTATTTTTAACTAAAGCTCTAATTCAATTATGTTTATTTTTTATGCCTATTTCGAAACAAAATTTCTAATAAGATTAAAGATAACAAGAGTTAGAAGATATAATTTTACTAAATTAAATATAAATATATTAATTATTAAAACTAATGACTGAAATTAAGAATTTACTTTTTAGATATAGTTAATAACTTGAGATTTCCATATCTGCAATCTTATCCGAACCGACCCTACACTTCTAAGGCTACTTTTGGCAAGTCAAACAAGCTAGCTTATAGTTTATTTGATTAGTTTATAAGCTCTCTGTATTCAAATAAGTCTCATTTAGTAGGACGAGATTTTTTAAAAAGCTCGAGCTTATCTCATAAGCTACTTTAGGTAACTTTTCAAATAAGCTAGTTGAATTTTTTTTTATTTCGGCTAACTTATCAGCTAATTTTATCAAACACTTTTATCATATAAGTTAGCTTTTCAGCTATAAACTATAAGCTCAAAAAACTATATATAGCTAACTTATCAACTATCAGCTAGTTTTACCAAACATAGCCTAAATCTTTTAACCGATTCAAAAAATAGAAATCTCCAAATCAAGAACATCCCGATTTTCGATTTAAGTCTAATAATTGAATTTTGATGATCACGTAATTTCGGAGATTTGTAAAACTTTGAGTTCGATACACCCTAATAAAAAATGAGATCAAATTTCTCATTTTGTTGAAATTTTAGTGTTGGGCCCAACTAGATTGATCGGGCCTTACTCATAATGCCCAAACTCTTATAAAAGGAGTGACAAAAGGGCTGCAAACAAGGCCTTGTCTTCATTTGAAAACGAACATATTTTCAAGCATGTAAAAATTCTTCAGCTTAAAGGGAAATCTCCTAAAATGTGTTAAATTTTACATAATTCGAACTTCTATTTGCATCATGGCCTCCAAATTTTTCGTTTTAACCATTGCATCAACACATATCTGTGTAATTTAATGGTTAAAATTCATACAAATGTCAAAATTTCACCACCAAAATACAAAGGACAAATCACAAAATGAAATTAATAACTCATCAAGGTAAAGTGTTTGCATTTGTCATCCTCATGGCTATGGATTTAACGGAACCAAACTAGAATCTTAAAAGAAGTTTTGTTTGATAACATTTGTAGCCAACTGTTGACTTTATGGCAGAAAATCGAGATTTAACATATTTGAGAGTGTGCAAAATTTAATAACCGATCAATGTGTTTAATTTGGAGCTCCCAAATAGACTTTCAACTGCTTCAAATATCCCTAGCACCCAAAAGCTAAAACGAGTTGCAATTTATCAACAATGATGTCGAAAAAAATGTGAAAAGAATTAATTAAGTGAAACGGTTTATACTCATTCACTTTTCAATTGTAACAACTAAAATGTCCTATACGAAAGAATTGTAAGAGTGTAACACAAACATCAAATGTCAACTAAAGATTGTTTCTGAGATACATTTATTTATTTATTATTTCTCAACTTGACTGATTAACATTCAACGAGCCAATTATACGTTCGAGTGCACCAAAGTCGAAACCATTACAAAGAAAATGCAGAAAATGCACTTTTTCAATTGTTCTCAATGTTCATAAATGACACTACCCACTACCAACTCCATGTTTCGTTAATTCCTCTCTTAACCCAAAATCCCTCCACCAATTTTCGCCATTTTCTTTATTTATTTGTTTGATTAATTATGGTTGTTTCACTAATTATTCATCAAAATTTGTTATGCTAACTCGTTTCACCCATTCATCCACAACTTTTGAGCCCTATCTCATTTGATTTCATGAACATTTATTTGGTTGTGAGCACAGTTTGAACACAAACAAAAGATTTTATAATCGCTGGAAAGTCATACATTATCTATATCTATATCTATTTCTATTATATACTATTATAAAAGTGCCAATGAATCTGTAAAAATATGATAGCCTAAAATAACCTTATTTTGTCATCTTTTTAATGGCAATTCTGTAATTTAATAATAGCCAAGGTAATGGCATACCTATAAATTAAACACGTCCTCGGTTAATGCATTATATACTCATTTGTACATCTAATTCTAGGGTCATGTGATTTGTGAATTGTGGTTTGCAATAATACCCAGTTAGGTTTACCTAATGATATATTTTTAGCTACATACATTAATAACTATGATTATATATTTTATACTGGAATACTATAACCTGATGAGATACTACTGAAAGTCATAATAGTAAATTTTTAGGACCATATGATAATTATAGATACCCATAAAATATATTGATTTGTTTCTTTTATATTTTGCAATTCTAAATGTATAAATTTTTGCAATTCTTAATGCAAGTCTATGTTTTTAAAGATCTTTTTGTGTTTGATAAATATTTTTACTCTTCAAAAGTAAATATTTTTGTTCACTCTTTTTTTGTTGGTGTAAAAAATAATTCTCATTTATACTTCGACGCGTGTTTTAAGAATATAAATAATTTCTAAAACTTCGAAATTTGATAAAAAAATTTATTAATAATTTAAAATTTTCTATTTATTTATTTATTAAAAATGATTAATGCAATAGTTATAATGTTATTTTATAATCAAATTATTTAAAAAAAGTAATATTGAATAATNCTAAGAGATATGATTTGTGTGTGAAACTAATAAAGGTCGTGAAAAAATATAAAAATGAGTTAACGAAATTAATATAGATACCCTGACATGTGTTTTTACTTTTATTAAATTTTTATATTTATAATAAAATACAGTATAGTATTAAAATTAATTGTTAGATAGACCTTACGATTAAACGTTCATACATTTTCCAAAGGTATACTACGCTCATATTGAATTGTTATACTTTAAAAAAACATAAATAAAAGTTTAAGATTTTATTGCATATGTATATAATTTTATTAAGAAAAGGTATGCAGGATCAATCTGCCTAATGACTATTCCGTCTCATACAAGAATTTATGTGAACTAATATTTAAACTTAATAAGTATTTAATCAATAAATTTTATGATAAATTATCAAGTAAATAAAATTATATCTAACCTAAGATATCATATGATATATAAATACACCTTGGATGAATAAAAAATTGTGTTTAGTAAAAAATGTTAGACGAAAAATTGACCAAGTTTATATGTATATATATGTTTGATTCGACAGAGTTTATAATATTATGGTTCATCTACATCACGCGTTTGAGGAAATTTAAAGGTTTTATAGTTATAAACTTAAGAATATGCATTTTATGTGGTTTACTACACATTAATTGGTTGATATTTATACAATTTATTCAATCGCAATTATTTTAGCATTAGATGTGACCTAAAGGCCAAAAACTAAAGCTAATTATAGATAATATGAATCTTTAATTTAAATCAATTTATTTCTTAAGTAAAAAATAAATATAATTTCCCAAAAAATTGTTTATAATGTTTATAGATTATCTTTTAAGATTATTGTAATCTAAATCAGATTGTGTACCATGTAATGGTTCATTAAAAATATAATAGTATTTGAGTGAAAAAATAAATAAAATTTGACCAAATTAGAATTTTAATATATATTTATAACTCATGAAAGTAATTATAATTAATTAGATCAAGTTAAAAAGAAGCATATGAAAACTATTTTACTGGAAAAGGGAAGATAATATGAATAATATTGAAAAACTTTGCAAACATATGTCAATTGAGTTATAACTATTTATTTAGTCAATAACAATAAGGACAAAGAATGGTCTCCTTCAACAAGATAAAAAGACAAAATTGTAAACTATCAAATACATTAATTATTTAAGTAAAAAATTTTAATTTAGTTTTACTGTGCAAATTTTTCAATCTTCTCCAAGCAAAAAAGATTTCGAATAAACAAGACTAACTTAGATAATGAAGGTTTCACCATGCAATCTTTTCACCATGACTTTTAAATATTATTATTTTAAAAATTGTATTTCAACTTTCATTACATTTGACACTGTCTATTATGTAATGTACTTCTTGTGTTTGATTAATTGAAAATAATAATGCAAAAAATTGTATAGACCATAAAAATATAAAAAAAAAATATAATTTAAAATCACATTAAAATATAAATTATGTATCACGTGCATCGCACATGCACTTTACTAGTCACTAAAAACGTATATATTTTATTTGATGAAGTGCCATATTCTATTTGAATTTGAAAGACAGTTAAAAAAAGTTATGGTTTCTATTAAATAATCCTCCCAAGATTATATCCAAGTCCTATTCAATTATGTATTCCATTATTACACTAAAACAAATGATGAAATACTAGGGTAAAATTGTTTTTAATATTCACACCATGTCAAGACAAGATATATTAAATGATAATGGCATCCATTTGCATCATTGACTCGTTGGTCCCCACTTTCATTTTGCAGAAAGTATCTTTGGTCAGGATGCATTTTGGATTGCATCAAAGGGCATTGTTTTTGTTCAGCTTTGCATCAAATTCCTTTATTTTTATAAGATATTTTCTTGGGCAAATAAAGATGAGGAAATAATTGGGCCAAAAGGACAGATTCTCATTCGTTCAATATAAATAATTAAATATTGATAGACAGCACACAACCAAAACAAAATCATCAATGTCTCTATCAAGCTTCAACAATGATACGACAAATCTTTTCTTGTTTGCTTTTCCTAAAGAATGGCAAGGAAAGGAAAAGGAAAAAATAAAAACAAAAAATTGCCATTCATTCTTATATCCTCTACAAACTTAACTATCATTCACTTTTGAAGTGATAGAGGTATGGAGCCGTAAAAAGGCTAAGTCAAAGTTCAAGCTTCTAATTCTCAAACTCAAGTTTTACTTGTATTAAAAGGTCTTGTTAACTAATCAAACTAGTTAATGTTGTAGTTGATAGAGTTGTAAATTAATTGAGTCGAGTGGACTTTGAACTCTTGATTTTTAGTTTGAGTTTAACCTTTTATTGAGCCGAACTTGTCAACTAATAAAGTTGATCGCGTTGTAGTTGATAGAACTGCAAACAATTGGAGTCAAGCTCGAACTCGTTTTGCTCGAGTTCGTATTTGATCTCTTATTGAGTCAAGCTTATTAACTGATCGAGCTCATCATTATTGTAGTTTATAGATCTGTGAGTAGGGTTGAGCTCATGTCAAGTCTGGGCTTGACCCTTTATTGAACTGATTAACGAGCTGAAGTTTGATTTTTTTTTAATTAAAATTAACGAGTCGAACTTGAGCTTTCAACGAATTCAGCTCGAGACTTAATAGGTTGGACTAAGTTAAAAGTTCAAAAAATTAAGTAAAATTTACTATTTACCATTTCTTGAGCTTAACTAATCCTAACAAGGGGAGCCTAAACAAACTGTTAAACATACTTGAGCTTGATAAATAAATTGGGTCAATCTGAATATTTACAAGTCGAGTCCACGAACTCTCTATTCATTTAATTCCATTTAATAACTCTAATATTTGATAAACTCGGGTCAAAACCCGGTGGACCGATAACTAAATTCACCGGATTTCGACTCGACTAATGCAGATTGATTCAAATGACCAACTTGAATATTGGTCAACACCGGTTCAAGGCTGAGCTTTGAACATATTAAATTCGAATATAAGATAATCTAAAATAGTCTCAGTGGCGACAATATTATAAAACCTGCAAAATAACTCGAATTAACAGTAAAAAAATTGCCGATAATCTCCGTCGTAAATCCAAAAGGCGGCTCTTTTGCGGTCACCGGCGTATCAATCGCTGCCAGAAAATGCCACCCTCTCCGAAACCCACTTGTACTCTCATCCTCATCCTCACTTTCTCTCTCCTCGCCCTCTACACCGCCCTCCTCCGCTCCCACCACCGCCGCCCTCCTCCCTCCGCCGCCGCCGTCGGTTACTCCCGGGACACCCTCCGCTTCCGCGGCACGTTCCTCTCCACCGCCAGCAACTACACCGTCTCCGCTTACCTCCGCCATCTCACCCTGCGCCCCCACCTCGCCGGAACCCTCCCTTCCCTCTCCGCCGCCGACTACGTCCGGTCCCATTTCCAGTCTCTCGGCCTGGACACCCGCACGGCCGACTTCTCCGCCCTCCTCTCCTACCCCACGCGCTCGTCCCTGTCGGCGCACTTTAGCAACGGCACCGCGCTCGCCTTCCCCCTCTCGGAGCCCGGCGCCGCCGAGGACATCGGCGTCGTTCCGCCGTACCACGCCTACTCCCCCTCCGGCTCCGCGTACGGAGAGGCGGTTTTCCTCAACTACGGCCGGGAGGAGGACTACCGCGCCCTTGGCGCGGACGTCAATGGTTGCGTCGGGGTGGTCCGGCGGGGGTCGGGGATGTCGAGGTACGAGGTGGCGGCGACTGCGGCGGCCCACGGGCTGTCGGCGGTGCTGATGTACACTGAGGGTGAGTACAGGGAAGGGGTTGAGAGGGGGACGGTAATGAAGGGTTTGGGGGACCCGCTGAGCCCCGGTTGGGCCGGAATTGAAGGCGGCGAGAGGCTCGAGCCGGACGACCCGCAGGTGAAGGAGAGGTTTCCCGGCGTGCCGTCGTTGCCTGTTTCAGAGGCGGCGGCGGAGAGTATTCTCGGGTCGTTAGAGGGGAAGAGTCTGCCCCGTGAGTGGAGGGAAGGGTTATGGAGCGGTGCTAGCAGAATAGATCGGGCGGGGCCCGGCCCGACTATGCTCAACTTCACATACGAGGTTTGGTTCAGTGACTATTTTCTCGGTCGTTTAGGATTGGAGTTCCAAGATTTGATTTTTATTTTTATTTTTATTTTTTTTTTCAATGAAACGAAAGAGAACCTTTTTGATGTACTGTTATGTGTTCTATATGGCATGACATAAATTTCTTTAATTAAATACGTGATTTCTTGGCAAATTGGATTGTGGCTTTTGTTGTTTGTTTGTTGTTTTACTTTCTGTCTGTTTTGTTCTTACATGGAGTTTTTCGCAACCAGCTATGTAAGCTTAATTGGCAGCTTGTGAAAACTGATCAGTTCATTTATCTGTATTGTAGACTAGCCTGATCTTGTATTTATCCTTAATTTGCTGATGTCGATCGTGTTTCTGTGACGGTTGCACGTTTTATCGATCTTTATGTGATTAATAAGCTTCTTTTTAGGGAAAATACTAATCACCTTTCAGTTGTGGAAGGATCAGAAGATGAACTGTTAAAAGGAATGAAAAACATTGTTCAGTCTTTTTTCGAGCTTCTGTATGATTCTTTTTACTGCATGTTCCTATTTACATGTTCTCCAAGAGTAAAACTTATGTGACAGGGAAAACACACATTTAACTTCATGAAACTCGCTCGAAATTGTTAAAAAAAAAATACATTTCTTTTCCATTGTCTGAAATTCTTGGTCCTAATCCTTTCGAGTTGTTTTTCTTGTTCGGAAACCTTTTGTAAATACCAAAAATTTTGGATTGTATTTCATTTGGACATTATTTTTTGTAGGGTGAGAAAAAGATGGCAAGCATACATAATGTGTTTGCTGTCATTAAAGGACTCGAAGAACCTGATCGAGTGGTTTTTCTAGGAAATCATAGAGACGCATGGACTTATGGTGCAGTGGACCCGAATAGTGGAACTGCTGTTTTACTAGACATTGCACGAAGGCTTTCTCTTCTCATGCGCTTGGGTTGGAGCCCGAGAAGAACAATCATTCTTTGCAGCTGGGATGCTGAAGAATTTGGAATGGTCGGTAAATATTGTCTTTCACCTCCTGATATAAAACCACAATAATTATGTAGTGTTTTGGAATAAACTTTTGTTTTTTCTATGAGGATGTTTATTGAAGTAGATGCAAAAGATATTCGAGAATGAGAAGAAGTTAGTACTGTTTTACTGATAGATGCTAAAAGCCGAGTAAAACAACAGAGGTTGTGATAGGAAGCACATCTTCTTTGAATTTTTCAGATTCTGATTGGTTTTTTGCAATAATCAGTAGCTGAAGTTGGTATTTGAGGTTGGGAAAAACTACACTTTCTTTTCCTAAGCCGAAAAACTGAGAATCACTGTTTTTTTTTTCCTTTTTCTGTTCATAAGTGTGTAAATATTTCCAATATTGTCTGATGTTTTTACAAGAACGAGAGTGTAATATCGCGTAGAGGGGGTAATCTGGAATGTTGAGCACATTCATTTATTGTAGGGCACTGTTTAATTTTTTGAATATACCAAAAAGTAAAAGTTGAATTTTTCTCGTCCTATAGAAATTTTCATCTTTTACCTGTAAAATTAGTTCCGATATCCGTTTATTCACTTTTCCTGTAGTCAACTGCAACATCTTCGTAAAGTGATTGAACTTGTGTAGAAGTTTTCATATAATCGAAAACCCAACTCATTTTTGTTTTTATGTTTTTATTTTTTGTTTTCAGATTGGATCTACTGAATGGGTAGAACAGAACCTTATGAATCTCGGTTCGAAAGCAGTCGCGTACCTTAATGTGGATTGTGCGGCCCAAGGGCCAGGCCTTTTTGTCAGTGCAAGTCCACAGCTAGATAACCTTCTTGTCGAGGTAACAAAGCAGGTAAATAAATAGAGTTTAATGTAAAAATGAAATTTAACTGCTTAGACTGAATCTTTCAGTTTATGGGCTGCATTGTGTTTTCTGATCTCAGGTTAAAGATCCCGACTCGGAGAATGCATATCTACATGAACAGTGGACAGCTGCCAACAAAGGCATCAAAGTAATAAGTGTTCCTTATTCAAAATAACCAAAAACACTTTTTTACAAAAATCTTTAATTAGATGAAGAACAAATGGAAGCTGAAGTGAAGTTTGACATTTGCTATCACTGAAAGTTGTTTCCTTTTTCTTTTCATTCTTCTCGAAAGCTAACATTCACTTCTTTAAGCTTTTGACAAACATCCACTTATCGAGACAGGTCTATAGTTTAGTTTAGACATGATATTTGTTAAATGAAAAAGCTGCTAATTTCCATTATTTTGTCAAGCAGCAGATTGAGAGGCTTAGCAGGGCCGATTCAGATTTTGCTCCGTTTTTGCAGCATGCCGGGATCCCATCTGCTGACTTATACTTTGGAAGTGGTACTTATTATCTCCATTTCCAACCTTTTAGTGCAACTTTTTTTTGTTTTTTGTTTTTTTATAATTTTTCCCTCTTACAAAGTAATTCTTGTTTTTTTTTTGCTGGCTCACCCAAAGTAAAAAGCTCATCTTCTTTCAGATTTTCCGGTTTATCACACGGCATTCGACTCATATGATTGGATGATCAGATATGGAGACCCCTTATTTCATCGACACGTGGCTAGTGAGTTCTCGTATGTGCTTATTTCACACAACACTCGTATATTTGCAAGTCATTGTGCTAACTATGATGTTAATCTCTCTCTCTCTCTCTCTCTCTCTCTCGGTTTTTCAGTGGCAGGAATATGGGGACTTGTTGCGCTTAACCTGGCAGATGACCCGATTTTGCCTTTTAACTACTTATCATACGCCAATGAATTGCAGGTGATCGTTTTCTTCTGTAAATATACTTTTGTACAAATGAAAAAAGGAAAAGAAATGCTCGTGTATTTTCAAAATTTTATATACCATCTATATAATAAAAACAGTGATTGATGTACACTTCAGGAGTATAATAATGTCCTCAGCACTTTGTTAGACGGGACCATCTCGTTGAGTCCCATTACTACCGCCATCCGAGAATTCACTTCTGCTGCAAATGAAACAGAGGAAGAAGTTCAGGTTAGAGTCAGATGAAAACTAAATAATCTTAGAAACTGATACAAGTAAAATAAATTAAAAGATATGCTCGTTTTGCTGATTTTTTTTAATTTTCATTCTTTACTTATCGGAATTTCGAAATGTTTAGAAAATGAGGATGTGTCGGGATGATGATGAATCTACGGTTTTAAAGAGGCGAGCGTTGAATGATCGACTAATGCTTACCGAGAGAGGCTTCTTGGACTCGGAGGGGCTACTGTCTAGGCCATGGTTCAGGCATCTCGTAAGCCAACTCTCTCTCTCTCTCTCTCTCTCTCTCTCTCTCTCCCTTTCCCCCTCTCTCTCTCTCTCCCTCTCCCTCTCTCTGTATCGATTTTTTTTTTCTTTTGGGTAAGGACACAAAATATAATGGTCCCAAGGTCTTTCTTGCATGAAAACACATTTCTACTATCTATAATGTGCATAAAAAAAAAAGTCAAAGTATCAACTCTTGATTGTACGCGTAATTGCATTCGCAAAAAAAATCGAGCTTAACTTAGACGGGACATTGTCTAAATGCTAGATATATGGGCCACGTGGAAACCCGGAAAGCAAGATCGAATTTTTTCCTGGGATAGCCGATGCAATATCACGGAAAACGAACGACGAGCAAAGGGAAGCTGCTGTAAGGCACGAGATATGGAGAGTGGCTCGGGCCATTCGGAATGCGGCCTCAGTTTTGAGAGGTGAATTCACATGAAGGGATAGAAGATATATGTTTTCGTCGTCCCAAGGGCAAAATAGGGTTTTCGCATCATCGTTTGATAAGGTTTTTTCAGGCAGATTGAAGTACATTCTGTACAGAAAAGAAAAGAAAAAAAAAATCAGGAAATTTGGTTTGTCTGTATAGGAAGATTGCTGCTACTGTGTGCTTCAAAAGTTATTATAACGTTGTTGTTTATTGTCAATATGCTTTCTTTTTATTGAACAAAATGGTTTTTGCCTCTACTTCTATTTTGTGTACAATTTGGAGGTCATAATTCATAAGAGGACTTGAATTATGGGAGATATAGTTGTGTACTCTCATTATGTATGCCAAACAAGATGAATATATGAATGCTGTGAAAATAGAATTAATGGAAAGCTAAATAAATTTTGCGGCCTTAGCCA